ATCAGCATGCTCAAGAGTACTTATATTGAGATTTTCAGCAAAATCACATTTTTGGCCAAAAACATAAGTCTTACACCTTAGTAAATTTTTTGACCAAAATTGACTTTTCTCTCGAAATTGGAATTTGGGGGGTTTAACCAGTTAATTACTTCCAGATGAACACAAAAACACCAAAATCTCACCGGAGAAACCCATAGGTGGCTAGTAATTAGCATTGAAAAAGTCCTAAGCATTGAAAAAGTCCTAAAAATACTCCAAGCCTCATTGTGGCCACTAATTACCCCCCAATCGAAATGAGGATCATATAGTTGCAATCAGCATGCTCAAGAGTACTTATATTGAGATTTTCAGAAAAAAAAATTTTTGGGCCAAAACATAAGTCTTACACCTTAGTAAATTTTTTGACCAAAATTGACTTTTCTCTCGGAATTGGAATTTGGGGGGTTTAACCAGTTAATTACTTGCAGATGAACACAAAAACACCAAAAACTCCCCTGGGAAACCCATAGTTGGCTAGTAATTAGCAATGAAAAAGTCGTATGCAATGAAAAAGTCCTCTTGCCGCCCACACGCCCACCATCGCCACCCCTCCCGCAACAACACCGGTTTGACCACTTCCCACACCTGGTCGAGACCCTCCATGGTGGGGGTGGGGTGTGGGGGAGGGTAGTGGGGGAGGAGGAGGCGGGGGCAAGGGCAGTGAGACTCATGACTTTAACACTTACACTTTAGCTGAACACTTTAGACTCCATCCCAACACACACACACACACACTCACACACTTTATCTCCTAACAAACACACACTTCACACCCTAACACATCCCCCTTACCCTAACACAAACACACTTCACACCCTAACACAAACACACTTCACACCCTAACACACCCTCCTCCCCTCAGCCTCTCAGTAACCCACTTTCCCTTATCCTCGGGTACACAAGACCTTGTTCACGACGGTGTCCACCATCCCTGCACGATGAACTGCACTGGACACACACACACACACACACACACACACACACACACAACTGTAGATGAAAGAATGCCTCCTATTGGCCGACTTGAGGTAAAGTCTGAAACCACAAAAAATAAAATCCCCAAAATTGCGTCGCGTCAAAATCATAATAAGACTTTACCTTCACTAGAGAACGTTCACTTAACAACAGGTAAAATTAACATACTGTATTTAATTCTTGGGAAAAGCTTCTCTGCGTTCCTATTATCACCTAATTGGCAAGTGAAGGTAGAGTTTATTGACGTTAATTAATTATAATAAATACCTTCATGTTTCGATATCTTAGAGAAGTACTTTTGTTAATAAATGAGGAATACAGGTGTGTCTCACGTGTCACCTCCCCTCCCCTCCCCTCCCCCTTCCTCCCTCACGCATCACTGCCCGCGAGAGACAACAGGAGGTCAAGGGCAGGTACTGGCTCACATACCTTCAGTTAACACCATAATAATAACTATAAACGTCACCTTGAGATATACTTTACACACACAGCCAGTAATCACCTCATTATGTTTGTCAAAGAAACTGGAAACATTTATTGTAAACTTTACTGTACATTTATATAAAGAATGAGATCCCTGGAATTGAAAAATAAATAAAATCTTTTAAATGTTTATTCAATGACTTGTTTTACATTTATTTATGCTGCAATTACGTTCAGGTTTTACGAAGACATCTTGATTAAAAAAATAAATAAAATAAAATCTGAGTGTTTTTAGACTGTCGCTGTTTCTACACGTTGACCAACACTGACACACAAACACTGTCTTGCCCCACACTGACAGTATCATATACCCGTACATTATTCCCTTTAAAATTCCCCGTTTCTTATTTCGAGTCCGCCATAATTTTATAAACTAAAAACATTCGGGTATTGTCGGATAAGTTTTATTACCTAGAGAACTTAATAATTTTAGACGACGTATTTACAGTAGCTCGTGTTGAGGTGGTGGTGGGGGGGGGGAGAGATCAGTGCCAGTTTGAATGTCTGACTGAAGATAACCGACTTGGTTCACCGTAGTCCTGTGATGATGATGATGATGATGATGATGATGATAATGATGATGATAAAAGCAATAGTAGTAATAGTTAGGCTTCTAATCATCATCATCATCATCATCATCATACCGCCAAAATAACTCCAGATAAACCCATATCAACAGAACAATGTCATGTAAGATCACTGTCTCGGCCTTGTAATGAAAGCTCTCACTAACTGGCGTACATAATTAAGCTTCTTGGTAATGGTATCACGTGTCTGTTTGATCTCGGTATCTCTGTCACTCCACCTTTGTCTGTCACTCCACCTTTGTCTGTCACTCCACCGATGTCTGTCACTCCACCTGTGTCTGTCACTCCACCTTTGTCTGTCACTCCACCTGTCTCTGTCACTCCACCTATGTCTGTCACTCCACCTGTGTCTAATAACCAGCTGTTGTCGTTCAGTTCCCTTTCCCCTGCCTGTAGTAACCAGCTGTTTCTTCCAGCTGTGGACACCCTGGCCTTGGCCTACACTATGGAGAACAGCTGTCTTACAGTCAGTCTCTCCGCCCTACCCTGGGGGTGACCAGCTGAGCCCGACGCCAACGCCTACACCGCCTCCATCAGGTACGCGACGAATTCCACTACCTCTCACCTGTGCCTCCCCATCACCTCTTACCTGTGTCTCTTCCTCCCTCCTCACCTGTGCCTCCCTCTCACCTGTGCCTCCCCATCACCTCTTACCTGTGTCTCTTCCTCCCTCCTCACCTGTGCCTCCCTCTCACCTCTCACTTGTGCCTCCCCCTTACCTTCATCTTTGTCTCCTCATACCCACACACCTTCCCCACTCTATCTCCTCACTTCTTTCCTCACCTCACACACTTACCTCGCCACCTATCTCTCTCATCACTTTCATTGACCTCTCTCACCTCTCACATCTACCTCTTTACCTCCTCCCTCACGCCATCATTCTCCCAGTAATCTCTCTATCAAGGTGCTGTAACACTACCACACTATTATTAGTTACTGTGTGTGTGTGTGTGTGTGTGACCATCATGAACGAGTATGTGACACTCCAGCCTTTAGTGTGGGAACCTTCGCCTCCTCACACCTCACATATTTTGCTGACGCCCACAACTCACGCCCATCTCTCCATGAATCCTGACTCAATCTTATGCCCCACGAGGATACCACACGCCCACACTTTTCACTGATACCCACACCCAAGGTACCTCAGACCCACCTGGCCAATACCACTACATATATATATATATATATATATATATATATATATATATATATATATATATATATATATATATATATATATATATATATATATTCAACATGCTGGCAACACCTGTTTCAACACCTCCAATCAGCGGCTGGCAGGCATATTTCAACCGTCACATACTATCCTCTTTTTTTGTACCAGTAGGTGGTGTATGAGGCCCTCAACTCCCCCCCTCCCACCCCTTACACCTGCGTAAAGTTAATCAACAACAGGTGTCGTGGGCGGTGCGTAAGATGACCCAGGTTGAGGGAGATGTGGGATGCTGCGGCGTTAGGCAAGGAGGCGTCGCTAGGCAGTCACTAGTGCCCCTTTTGTACCACGAGAATAGCGTCACTATAGGTAGGATGCTGGCGAACGTTCGTCTGGAGGAGTTTCAATAATTGTGTCACTGAGATGATGCAGGTGAACGCCAAGCTCTGTTGACTACTTGAGCCGGTGATCTGGACTGCCCGTGTTGGCGTGTTTTTATGGTTGTGGTCTTTATATAATGCACATGGTGGTTCACACACACACACACAATACTGGGTGTACAGGTGGCAGGTGAGGGGGGTGGATGGGGGTGGTGGTGTTTATGCCAGGGGTCGCGAGGAGGTTTGTGTGTGTGTTTGTGTGGGCAGCTGGGCGGAGGGGGGAGGGGGCGCACCACACCTGTTGCTTGAGGCAAAGCTCCAGGGCCAGGGAAGTCTCTGTCACACTCGGTCTGCTGCCTCACACTCACCTGCCTTAGAGAGGTCCTTAAGCTGCTGCTGTCACGAACAAGAAGTGACTGAGTAGTGAAAGAGGAGAGTGGACACGTTGGGAGCGGAGGAGCGGCGTCCGTGCCCGCCGACACCAACACTTTCACTGTGCCCGACACACCGCCACCCCTTAGGGGGGCTCAAGGTGGTGGCGGCCACCTGCCACACACACACGAACACATACCAATAAATGCCCACACAAACACACGCAACATACATTCCAGAGACAAACACACACCCACACACAACACAAATGCCCCCCCTCCCACCCACACACACACAAACCACAAATAACTATAAACATTCCACAACAAAACTTGCAACACACACACACACACACACACACACCAGTGTGCCCACATTCATACCCGTCGATACTCTCTCTCCCATTCATCCTGCCATAGACGACCCGAAGGGCAAATATAGAGGTCAGCGTGTGATCGCTGCCACAGAGCACCACCTTCCAGGTCGCCTGACGACTGTGCTGCTGGCGAGAATGTTATACCCGGGAATATTGTTTAGTACCTTGATAATATTAAACTGAAGCATCACAGGAGCTAAAACATTCCGAATTTTCAAAAAACAAGTTTATCATTTTTATGAGACTGTTTTTAAAGGGTACAGCCGGACCCTGTATGTTACAGTGGGACATCAACACCACATGTGGGCAGACTAGAGGAGGCGGGGTGAAAGGATACACACCCACACGTCCTCACCTGAGAAATATTTAGGTGATCAGCTGATGAAACGAGTAACATCAACCAGTGGGAGGATGATACGAGTAACCCGGCAGGAAATACCAGAGGCGGTAAATGCCAGAGTTGGTGGTACATATGGACAGCGTGGGCCAAGGGGCTAACTTCTTCGTGTTCAATGTACACCTTAGGTTCCAAGTCACAGCAACACACAACGCATTTTGAATCTTCAGTACAATGTGGTGTAAATTATAAAGTGAATAAATAAACTTAATCATTGTTCTAAACTACGACATGCTCTTTGCACTGGACCTTCGTGACCACTCTTGCAGAACTGTACGTCCAGCTATTCCCAGGAAGTCAGATGGTACAGTGAGTCAACTCTCCGAGTGACCCACAAAGGTCTTGTCACCTCCAGCACGGAAAATTTTGACCTGGTTAACCTCCGCTGGTGATGGTGGCACCTTGTTAACCTCAGCTGGTGATGGTGGCACCTTGTTAACCTCAGCCGGTGATGGTGGCACCTTATTAACCTCAGCTGGTGATGGTGGCACCTTGTTAACCTCAGCCGGTGATGGTGGCACCTTATTAACCTCAGCTGGTGATGGTGGCACCTTGTTAACCTCAGCTGGTGATAGCAGAAGTGGATCACGTGAAGATTAGGCACCCCAGCTTATTTCACTTTGATGATTAAACACCCTAATGCTGGGCTATTTTAGGTCATATTCGGTTAAGTTTTATAATGTTAGGTTAGGTTAGGTTATAATTAGTTTGGTTACGTTCGGTTAGATTAATCTACTGTAGGTTATACTGTTTTAAATTATATTATGTTAGCTTAGTTTAGGTTAGTTTAAGCATCAGATGAAATAAGCAGAGGTGCCTAATCTTCATATGATCCCCCAATACCCCCCATCCCCCAGCAGGTGGCAGCAGCGGTATTATTGACATATATAGGGTGGCTCTCTTACTCAACGTCACGCCCCGCTCTCTAAATATTCCTCTGTCCTTGTGAATAACTTCCTGCCATAAGGACACTGGTTTCCACCTGTGTGTGTGTGTGTGTGTGATACTAGATGAAGGGCTATGATAGGTGAAGGGGCGTAAATCTGTAATTGGCAGGTAAAGAGAAGGTTAGAGGGAGGTCACGGCAGGTCACGAGAAGGTCAGAAGGTGGTCATGAAAGGTCACTAGAATGGAAGAGGAGAGTCACGGTTAAAGAAACAAGTGCCAAGAGGGGTCACACTGAGAGACCTCCCAGCACGTGGCATGACATCAGAGAACGAAGGTAAGGCGACCGCATACAGTTTGCCAATCATGATAACTTTACCTGAGAGTCACGCGTTTACAACCAATTCATTGCTAATTTAGGACAACACTTAAAAAAAATAAAACGATAGGAACATAATCTCGTGGTTTTGTAAACTGTTATTTTCGTTGTATTTAATTGACTATGTCCACAGGTTGTTAGATCTATAGGTAACAACACTGATGCTCCTATGGCCAGTGACAAGTTAGAAGAAAGTGTCATGGGGGAGGGTGGGTGGGAGGATGTGTCAACAATGGGTTTAATGGGTATTGGATGCGTCTACACAGTGGGTGAATAAGACTGAGTTACCAGGGAGAAGAGGAAGAGATCGATCCTGAGGCCTGTGTAACGCGAGATCGACCCCGGAGACCACCACGCCACAGTGATTGTTATCTTACTGCCAACCCCACCAGCCTCTCTCCCTCTGCCGGAGTGTGGAGGAGCCACGACTCCTCCCTCAACCCCTACTATGTGTCTCTGTTCCTCCCACAACCTCTACTATGTGTCTCTGTTCCCCCCTCAACCCCTACTATGTGTCTCTGTTCCTCCCTCAACCTCTACTGTGTGCCTCTGTTCCTCCCTCAACCCCTACTATGTGTCTCTGTTCCCCCCTCAACCCCTACTATGTGTCTCTGTTCCTCCCTCAACCCCTACTATGTGTCTCTGTTCCTCCCTCAACCCCTACTATGTGTCTCTGTTCAACCTCTACTATGTGTGCTCCCCAGCCACTACTGTGTGCCTCCCCGACCCCCAACCCCTGCTCTGTGCCCCCTCCCCCCATCCCCCCATCACTCCTCAACAGCTTGCCTAACCTCAGTGATCTGTCAACATTGCCTGTACGTGACTGGTGATGCCTCTCCCATTCACGTCCTTTATCCATTTTTTTTCCTACATTTTCCTGCCCAATGAGATTACTTTCGTTTTTAGTCATGTTGCTTCCGTTGTGCTCCTTCGTGTATCTTCCGAGTAGGTCAGAATTGTGTCTCATTGTGTGTGTGTGTGTGTGTGTGTGTGTGTGTGTGTCGCGGTAGCCTTACACACCCAGGCCCAAAATACCCCACTTGTGTTGGAGGCGACGACTCGTCCGAGGCTCAGCAAGTGTAACGAGTGGGGAAGAGCCCGGCATGTGACCCATCCCTCCCCACAAACACTACAAAACAGCGCGCAAAAACATACTTGGCATCGAAAAGGCTATGGTTTCTGCGACAACGGGTCCGGAACTCTTAATATAACACATTTGTAGGCACATCAATCGTTGGGAAAAAAAAAAGAGTCTCACTTCTTCTAAAAGAGATCCAAGGCGCCAGTGCAAACACCGTAACCTAATCTAACCTACACGTTGTGTGTCAAGGTAATCGTGGTATCCAAGTGGACTCTGATCCTGTGTCATGCGGAACATTGGTGACATAACAGGATTATGACAGTGAACTTCTAACTTGTTATCATGTTGACATATTCCACGAGTACCGAGACCATGTCCTTGAATCTTTTTCTAACATAAAGCCTGTATTCACACTTATATTATTAAAGATGTGATCACTGTCTATCATAAAAGGTACCGCTCAATATCCATCTGTACAAAGGCATCATGAGAG